TACCCAGTGCCAGGGCATTTCATCGGCCCCTAAAAGGAACCACACGGCAATTAGCAACCAACGCCTGCTTTCAGTCTCCATGGGCCTGGACAATGTGTGGCACCTGCCCGTCTCCACAGGCACTGTGCTGGGGCTTGGCCAGCAAGGGACTCGCCCCTCCCTTCACTGCTGAGCACCAGCTGTGCTGGGGACTCACTGCAGCTGAAGCGCCCCCAGGCGACCCCCAAAGAAGGCCAGGGGTGGGGGAGGGGTGGGGTGGGGGGTGTTGTGCTGCCACAGAAGCTATGCCCGCAGCACGGCCAGGGTGCCGCCTGTGCGGGAGTCCCACAGCCCGAGTCCCAGCCCTGAGCCATGGGGTCCGCACAGGAGAGGTGACCACTGAGGCAGAGATGGGAACAGCGCGGCCACAGGACAGGCATGCCGAGGCGGTCACCACCAGGCAGGAGGCCCCGCAGGGGGAAAGCCCTGCTGGCACCTTCATTTCAGACAGGAAATTGAAGAGCATAAGCTTCTGCCTTTAAGCTAGTGTTTTGTGCCAACTTGTCCAAGAAAGCGAATACAGGCTTGCTACCAGGACAGAGTGCTGCTGTAACAAACACCTGGACGTGCACGTGGCCACGGAGCCGGGATCCGAGGCTGGGCGTTCTCAGCGTGACAGGAAAAGGCCAGACTGCCCGAGGCTTGGCAGAACTACCATCGTGTGGGATTCTGGGGAGGCTCGGAGAAAGCTCCTGGTCTCAGGAAGTGCATGTAGAGAGGGGTGTGATGGGGTCAAAGGGGCCCCGGGGGCGGGGAGGCCCCTGGAGAAGCAGCGAGCCTGGCTGAGCCGCGTGCTGCGTGGAGAGCTAGTAAGCAAGGAACGTGACACTTGGCCAAGGAAGTCTAGACAGTGCCTGTTGGAGGTGCAGCTGGTTTCTCCCGGTAAAAGGAGAGAGGAATTAAGAACTGGTAAGCAAAACTCACCCAGAATCTTAAGATTTAGGAAATTACCAGCCTGTCCTTACTGCAAAAGTTATTAGAGTGTTTTGGAGAGAGCACAAGGGTGTGGCCCCGCCCACGGCTGGCCCGGAGCCGCAGAGCCGGAGCCCAGGCCTGTTCTTGGGCCTTGACGCCCAGTGCGCCTTCCTCCACAAGGACAGGACTTGCTGGGACCCGGGCGCTTATTCCTTCCACGCCTTCCCTCTTGGAATGAGTGTGTCTCTGCCCCTCCCTGATTTCTGGAAGGAGGCAGTGTGCACTGGGAGTTTTTACCCCAGGATGGACCGTCGAGTCTCTCCACCCCTGACTCGGAGGGATTAGCTTCGATCTGGGACTTAGAGTTGAAGCTGGAACAGGTTAACACTTTAGGTTAGGATGGGGTGAATGAATTTTGTATGTGGGAAGGATATGAATTTTGAAGACCAGAGGGTTTCAATGTGTTCAAAATATGCTGAAAAGCTAATCCCTAGAACCTGTGAAATCGCAGAAATAATCAAGTGAACAGGAGGAGGCCGTGGGGATTAGGGTAGGCCCCATCCCATGACCAGTGTCCTCACGAGGGAGAGTTGAAGGTGCAGACACCCAGTGGGAGGCCATGGACAGCCACGTCCACACCACCAGGACGGCCAAGGAGCTGGCAGAGGCGCGGATGGACGCCCACAGAGCCTCCAAGCCAACCCTGCTGACACCTCGACTTGGGGCTTCTGACCTCCTGGACTGAGAGAATAAACTTCTGTTGTCATAAGCCCCGTTGTTAATTTCTTATGACAATCATGAGAAATGACCACAGATTTCGGTCTTGTGACCCTGTTAAGTTGGTGTCAGAT